TACTATAGTTATGAGAAGCGTTATACATGGACGCGCGTGCGGTTGCCGAACTGTATTAACGCTATAATCAGGATAAAACCGTATATTAAAAGTTAACAAAAGCAGTAGTATTTACAAATAACATCGTATCTAAAAGTATGAGACAACAACAAACAAAAAAACATACCATTAAGAGCTGTGTGCTTGCACAGGTTCTGCGCGATCCTCTTCACTAATATCCTCTGCGTCTCAATCAGGCTCAAATTGATAAGCAATATTGACGACATCATTGTTTACAATACAACCAGAGCACATGCCGCTGAGGCGAGGGGCGTGACATTAGACGCGCACTAGGCTCGAATTTAGCGAATCACAACACACTGGGCCAGCTAACCAATCTGAGCCCATTGTGTATTTCTGAGGGAGGGGCTTCATAAAAACAGGAAATGATCCGAGCGATTAAAGGAGAAGGGACAGAGCAGTGTAGAATAAAGGTAAATTATGTGAAAAATAATGCGTTTTTTTTTTTTAAATGACGCATTAACACATGTTAGACTGCACCCCATAAACACAATCAAGCCTAGAAAAAAAGCAGTCAACCACCCCTTTAACGAATCTGTCTGAAACAGAACTGAAACATACATATTAGTTAAAGGGATAATTCACCCAAAAATGACAATTCTGTCATTAATTACGCTCATGTCGTTCCAAACCCGTGAGATCTTTGTTCATCTTCAGAACACAAATTAAGATATTTTTGATTCAATTTGAGAGCTTTCTTGCTTGTTTTCAATCAGAGGAACACCACACGCATGCGTCATGGTACTGTTGTGAATGTGCCTCAAAGACTGACACAGAGGAGAAGAAATTGTTGAATAAACTCGTTATTTTTGTTTTCTTTAAACACCAAGTATTCTCGTAGCTTGATAACATTACAGTTGAACCACTGATGTCACATGGACTATTTTAACAATGTCCTTCCTACCTTTCTGGGCCTTGAACGTGTCAGTTGTATTGCTGTCTATGGAGGGTCAGAAAGCTCTCTGATTTTATCAAAAATATCTTAATTTGTGTTCCGAAGATGAACGAAGGTCTTACGGGTTTGAAACGGTATGAGGGTGAGTAACAAATGACAGAATTTTCATTTTTTGAGTGAACTATCCTTTTAATTAGTCATTTAGGCAGTTTTGTAGTTTCGCACTTTCATAGTCTGCATCAAAACCTCTAGTATGTGTAGGGGTCTAAGAGTGAGCTCATCCATACCGAAACGACTGATTCTCCCACTCACCTCTTTCTACCGAATTTTGGTCTGCCTTGTCTCTTGTCTCTTGTTTCCTTTTTCCTCATTTTGTTCCCTTGTTTTCTCATTTTTCTTTCTTTCTTTGGAAACCTATTGTAGGCTTTCATTTGTCTCGCTCTCTCTCTCCATCCTTTGTTCCAGCATTGGCTTTGTCTTTGCTCTAGGAATCCTTCCAGGCAGTGTGATGTGCTCTAAAAGGATCTCCCTCTCACGCTTAAGTCCCAGTGCACAGTGGAAAAACCATCAGCATGCACCTTGTAGCACATGCCCCAAGTGCTTTTGCTGCTCCCTGGCAATCATGCACTCCAAAAATAATAGGCCAATGATAATATGATAAAAATCATATTAGAGTGCCTGAAAGCAGCAAAGGGTTTCAAGAAAGGTGGCGGTGCCCTCAGAAAAGAGGGTGATGCGTTGTAACCACTTACATGTTTTGAGAACATACATTTTAATTTGTTTTACGCTCTGACTTTCATGGAGTCTGAAGGCAGGGCCTGACAGGCATAACCAGTCCACCCACAGAGCTGATATGAGCGCTGATCACTGTTCAAACAAGTGTGCCGGCAGCCGGATGGTAATTGAAATGCACAATGGGCCAGCCCCATCGCTCAAGCAGTTGAGCAGAAAGCACCGACAAGGCTCATCTATCGCTCTCTTTGTTCTCTCTACATTGCGCTGTGTTCGATTGATGGGAGGGTGGAGATGATCGTATCTGTCTGTTCTGGAATTGATATGAACACGACTGCCGATCCATAGGGACTGATCCAGTAAATCAATTAGTCGCTTTGTGGGGATGCACCGAATGCTGAGTTTACAGAGTAAACTACAAAACCGCTTGATGAATACAGATAGCTTTAAAAAACTTAATATCTGGAAATTGCATTGCACAATGCCCATAAATGAGGAAGGCATGAGAAAGAAAGTGTGGTTTGAATGGTGTTGTACAAATGGGCTTTGTGTTGAGAGGTCCAAATTTTCAGTTTTGAATCCAAACCATGTCACTTAAATGTTTCATGTAGATCTGTTTTAATTTTAGGCTTTTACGTTAATTTTGGAGTTCTCGCATGAGGCCTCCAAAGAGGTTTTTCTGTGTTTACTAAGCACTGGTGATCTGCATGAGTGTGCATGCTTAGTCATTGCATGATTTTTTTTTTTTAAGGACTGCTGAAATGGGTGCTCATTTAGGACTTTAATTAAGACTAAATGCGCTTTCAAACTCAGCGATACGGTGCAGCCTTCATTTTCAGGAACCTCATTTTTCAGGAACCTGATGATCTAGTCTTTCAGCACCGCATGGTGAGACACTGAATGAACACACAGTCCATGGAGGAATACTGTGAAATGATGAATGAAGGGTCATAATGCCTTTCTAAAATTTACATGTAACTCAAGTGCTGTCTTTTCATATTACACATTTGTTTCTCGCTCATTCTCTCTTGTCCCTCTCTTTAGTGTATTCGTTTTATTTCCGTTGAGGAGAAAAGACAGAAAAAAAATAATTGTATATTGTAATATATATAAATAAAATGATTTGAAAAGGGCACTTTAAATTAATAGTTTACTCAAAAACTCTTATTTACTCATTCAAAACTCTGATGTTTTTTTTTCTTCCATGGAACTCAAAAAGGAGGCTTTTTTTTAAAGAATATTGAGAGCTGATTTCCATATATCAAGATATAGGCCTACATAAAGGTGGTCCATATATCTCGTGTTGAACTCTGGAAACGGATCACTAAATTAATCATTCTGTTGATCCAGTTCTTTTCTGTGAACTGATTGATCTGATTCACAAATCAGACTGATTTGTTCCGAGTTCAGCACACTAACTCACAGTTTGCTGGAGGGAAAGTTTATTGGTGAATAATGGTTTAAATTTCAGTACGTTTCTCACACAAAGCTATGAAATAGCTTCAGAAGACCATATTATGTTTTTTTTTTCCTAGCTTCACAGACATGATTTCTTTGAAGAGTTGTACGGAAAACAGCTGTGTACCTATTCTTCTAAAATTTCTTTTTTGTTGTTTCAGAGGAAAAATAACAGCATACAATTTTTGAATGGCATTAGGATAAGTAAATAATGACAGAATTTTCATTTTCACAGAATTAGCGCAAAAAAGAGAAGCATACCCCTCAGGCCACTCGTGACTGTCTAACCTTGTTCATCTCTCATGCGTTAGTGTCCCTGTAGACACATCTTCAGGGAGTAGTTAAAAGCCTGGGCTTAATTTAACCGCCAGTTTAAGTTCCCTTCGTGTCGGATAGGCTCTGCTCTCAACGCTTCACAAGGCCTCCACTTAGTCAAAACAACTGTTAATTGACAGGCAGAACGACCCTGAACAGCCCTTGAATAAAACATGAGAGAGGTTGGAAGTTACGCATGATCAAGTGGGAATTTAGAGGAAAGGGGAAGAGAAATCTGTAGACTCATAGCTCTCCCTTTGCTTACAGTTCATATTTTAGACTTCTTGCTTATCACGGGCTTTAATTTTTCTACCCTAAACGGCTTTAACAATCAGACTCTAATCAGCTGCCAGTCTTCTGTCCGTTGGAAACCTAGAGGAAAGACTGCTTTGTGGTAATTAATAATCTTTTGTGAGCACAGCGTGTCATAGACAGATTGAAAGCAGAGAACAAAATGAAATTATTGACTTCTTTTCATTGCCTTGGCTCCCTCCTGGGTTTCTGCTTTTTAGGCTGAGAACAGTGGAGCAAAATCATGGCTTGTGCTTGGGATGGCAGCCTACAACAACACTTGACAGAGACGTCTACTGCATCTGTGTTCATAAGCTCCATTCCAAGCCTTAGCCTGCCTAGTCAGCATTTTAAGGCATCATTGGCATGCTCCCCTATGCTGAGGCCATTTTAAACAATAGGCGACAATAATATACCTTGTTTTGGTGAAATTTTACTTTAAAACGCATAGGCTGTAGACGGCAAGCGCTAGCTTTTAGAGCAGAACCGAAATTTAGTTCTTGTGCTTTTCACGCACCTTATCAGCCTTGTCACAAGCGTTCTGCTTTTGGAGGAAGTATTACTCCAAAGTGGTAATGTTTGAAGACATGTCTAAATGTGGAGTGGCTCGGAGCTGAATTTCAGCCAGCCGTTTAATGGAAGCGAGCGAGCAAGAGAGCTCAGAGAGAGGACGCCTAGAGCCACAGCTGAGACAAAGACACGCTTAGAGACGCAGACACACACTGTGTCCATTCATCTTTCCCCAGTGGAGGAAAAAAAGAAAAACACACATGCACAGAGTGAAGATACATCGACAGGGTGCTGCTGGCCAGTGACCTGAAAGGGGAACGATAGCGCAGCAGACGCGGTCACGGTCACAGCGGGGGCTTCTGGGTAACAGGACATCTCTGCTGCGACACTTCATCTTTCACATCAAAGGCCTTTGTGCATCCCTGTGTTATTCTACCCTGTTAAAACGCATCATACATTATCAGACCAAACAGCTTTTTTGGCTTTCATGTTGCTATATTTTGCATCGAACAATGGGGTTGTTTCCAGGCAGTGTTTTTAAAAGGTTTTCAATGAAGATATCATGAAGGCAGGCAGCTGTAGATGAACCAATCAGTAGGATGCGGCTGTATCACGGTTCTGTAATGCAGATACTCACTATACTTTTTGATATATTCATGGGCAAAGCTAACTTCCTGTCTTTTCTGTGTTCTAGATGATGAAACATGCGTGGGACAGCTACAGGCAATACGGCTGGGGCCACAATGAGCTCAAACCCATCGCCAAGAAAGGACATTCCACCAATATCTTCGGTAAGTAAGGAGCGCACATGCATGTTGGAGTCTCATTTACATGTAAATTACTGCTCTTGGGGGATGATTTGGTTCAGGTTGGTAAGGACAGACACAGGCAATCTCATCTACATCCACTTTTGTGTATCGTCTACAGCTCGCACTCTCGAAAGATGAGACGTGCTTGTGCAGTTCGCCGTCCCTATAATCATTTCTGTGTTTGTTTGTGTGTGTTGTTTATCGCTGGCTCTCAGCTGCACAGCTAAACAAGATTCGACTACTGGGACTGAATCTGATCTGTGTGTGTACATGCGAGCGTGCTTGAACAAAGAAATCACAATTGATCCTGTTTGCATCTTACTTTGCTGCTGATGTAACCAAGGCTGTGTGTGCAGGGGAAAAGAATAGTATAAAATAAATAGTTCTGAATCCTGATAGGATGAGCTGCATTGAAAGCCGTTGTGGAATGCAGATAAACAAACCTTTGACTGCACATTCTTAAAGGAATATTTTACCAAAGAAGGAAAAGTTTACCCAAAAATGAAAATTAGCTGAAGATTTACTCACCCTCAGGCCATCTGAGTTTTTTTTTCATTGGAATAGATTTAAAGGAATTTAGCATTTTTTCCACTTACTGTCCAATGGATTGTCTGCAGTGAATGGGTGCCATCAGAATGAGAGTGCAAACATCTGATAAAAACATCACCATAATCCACAAGTAATCCACACGACTCCAGTCCATCAATTAACGTCTTGTCAAGCGAAAAGCTGTATGTTTGTAATAAAATCATCATTAAGACATTTTAACTTCACAAGTCCTCTATCCATAATATTACTTTCTCAAGTGAAAAGTTGTTTCGTCTGAATCAGGAGAGAAATATACAGATATCAAGCACCGTTTATAAGCAAAAATGGTCCAAAACAGTTCTAAACAAATGTCTGTGGATTCTGACATGTGAGGACAACGAGTAATGGACTTTTTGCTTGGAGGAAGCAATATTACGGACTCGTTTAAAGAAAGGGGGTTTTGGAATATATTAATAAATACCTACTTTTTAAATGAGCCAATCACGTCTCGTCCTACCTTATTTCCATCTGAATATTTTCAAAACTTTTCACTCAAATCTCATCACATTACTAAACTTTTTGAATGCGTTTCATTTTCAATGCGGTTTCATTTTGTCTTTAAATATTTAGCTTTGCAAATCGACCTCAAGCAGTTTTCCTCATGAACTTGCTACGTAAGATTTAGGATGAGGTTTTATTTGTTCTTTCTTTGAGGTACCAGTGAGACACATATGATGCAGTTCTGTGGTTTAAACAAAATATGGGGGTGCTTTTGAAGAAGAACAAAGATATGAGAAGGAGAGAGAGTGTGGAAGAACAAGGGAGATGTGAGAGGCCCGGCGCCTCATGCTGCAGTGCGGTGTGTCGAAGTGTCTTTCACACTTCACTTTCATATTTAATAAGCCTCTCTGTTTCTACCTAACACGTGGAATGAACTCCTCAGCCATACATGTATCGATCACTCTGTTTGAACGTACTTCGGTGTATCTTGGATAGAATCTGGGGGAATCTACTTCTGGATGACTTTGCTCTTCTTTTCCAGAGGTTTCACTCTCATATACCCTGAACACTGTGTGCTTTGCTCCATCTGAAGTTCTGTCTTCAAGTGAAGAGAAACACCACTTCTCTATTCAAAAGCACTGTTTATGCCGTTGGTTGAGCCAGTGTTCCTGTGTCTGGCTGGTCGGGATGCTCAAGCAAACACAGTACTTATTAAACTATGATAGGAGGAAGTATTTTAACATCCAAAAAATTATGCACTTGTCTTTTGAGTTTGCAAGATCTTTTTGATCACTTTGTCCTATTTTAATTGTAATTATGTTGGCAGGCTTGTTTCGCACACCCAGATTAAACTCAAATCATGAGGAAAACTTTTAGTATAAGCTCACTCATTAATAATGGCTCTATAAATAGTTTAGGCCGCTTTTCTGGTTCAGGCTAGCTAAAAAACAAAACAAAACAAAAAAAACTATATATTATATTTCCACAAGCAACAATTGTAGTAAGAGGAAAGAGCTTTCGAATTAAGGAAATGTTTTAAAAAATATATATATTTCTTAAAATTAATTCTAATATACAGTAATGTGTACACAATGTATTTACTATATTATTATATAATATTTAAATATAAATAGGTTAAAAGATAAACAAGCTTTCATTTCGTAATTCAAATGCTCTTTAATCTCACTACAATTGTTGCTTGTGGGAATATCATGTTGTTGTTTTGTTTTGTTTTTTTGGCTAGCCTGAAATAGAAAAACAGCCTAAACTATTTATAGAGCCATTATTAATGAGTGAGCTGGTGGTGCTGACAGTTTCATAATGTCACTTTCTGTTGACTGAATTTATCCTCCCCACCCTACATCTATGATGTTTGCTGATGTATTTTATCAATCTGACAACATTACAAGTGGGTTAGAATGGATTGTTCAACAACTAAATAGCCAGTTAGTGCCGCGAGTTTTACCTAGGTTTTTTTTCTTGGTTGCTTAGCCATAATATTTTTAGAAGCAGAGATTTTAGAAACATTGATGGCGCAGCATACTAAAAACAGGCTTTTAACATTCTTGTTGTTTTGATGTCCATTAAAACTTTTCAGAGCATGTTAAAACCCTCTGCGGTGGGTTGAGTTTCTAAACTCCTTGCCTTTAAAATACTCTGCTACTCCATCAAAGCACTGCTTTTGTAAAAAATCCAGTGCCAGTAAATGTCAAAACAATTACCGTAGGAGTTCATGTTGTCTGCTGTGAGTGACGTTTCCATTATTATGCATAATCCGCAAGGCTTTTGTGAGGATTATGGTAGTTTTGTGCAATAAAAGGTTATAGTTTTGTCCAATTTGTTGTGTATCTGTTAGTTAATTTATTGCTACTTATCTGACCTGTGCCTGGTGGACTGACCTGTTTCTGGTGGACCAGACTAAATTCACTATTACTGCCTATTTTCATTTGCAGGACAAGAGAGAGAATTCATATTTCTCAGGAAACCTTGCAAACATTCAGCATTTAGAAACATTATTCAGCCTAATACTGCAGACAAATCTACGAGACGGTAAATACAATATACAAAAAACACAATGCATAATGGATGAAGTAAGCATAAATGGCAACATCCTTAACATTTGTAAAGTGAATCTGGACTTCACCCAAAAATGTTTTTTTTCCCCCTTACTTTCATGTCGTTCTAAAACCAAACTTTTGTCTGCTGAACGCAAAAGAAGATATTTTGAAGAACTTTTTGTGTCTATAAAATGAAAATTCAACATTGGACCCCACTGTCTGAAAATCAACATATGGATTGTTGGAAAATTCAACAATACATAAAAATAAAAAAAAAGTGTTTATGTTCCACAATAGTTCATGTCATGAAGGTTTGGAACAACATGTGGATGAGTAAATGATTTTTGGGTGATCTATCCCTTTAAAGACAATCTAGTCAGCTAGTTTTGTTTTGTAATTTGTACATCCTTAATTGTAATCTTTGTGACATTCCAACAAGCCCTTGTTGGGTAGACTATGTTTCAAAACACATTGCCTTTCATGTTCAAACCATGTTTAAGAGTACTTGGCTGTACATCTGCCGTGTTGGTCAAAAGGACTCTGACATTCCAGTGGTTCACTATTGTGGTGGGACAGGGACTCGCCCATATTGATCCTTGAATCGACATCCATTGATTTTCTTTCTTTGTGTGTGTGAAAAAACTTTTGACCCATAAAAGCCTGAGACTCTGCTGCTGGAAGGCACTGTCTGGATAGATTGCTGATGGTAAGCACTTTGAACTGTAAACAAAACACCCTGTTTACGGGGAATATTCTCAGACCGGACCCCAGGGTCAGATCACGTAACCCAACTGCCAAAGTTACGCATGTGATAACACGATACTAAAATAACCACGTTAACATGTGGTCACACTGCGGTGCAATCTGTTTCTGATGTATTATGATTTAATGCTTAAAGTGGAGTAGGGCTGAGCGATCAAAAAAATCATATCAGTATTTTTAGGCTGAGTGCTGATATACACATACTGTATTTTCTACAGTTTTTCAGTTTTTATTTATTTTTGTTAATTTTTGGTATTTGTTAAAAAAAAAAAAAAAGGTCATTTCACACCCGGTCCTAAAATAATGTGCATATTGAACGCTATGAAAAATAGTGCTTGTACTATAACTATGTAGGCTATGCAATATTTTATGTCCAAAAAAGGTTAAATTTGCATTACATTCTAACATAACAATATTACAATATAAAAACAAAACAAAATGCTGTTTAAAGCAGAAGTTAAAATCACTAAAATAAAGATGAAAATAAAAGCAAAACATACTGAGTAAATTTTAACTGGCAAGAGGAATGCACTTTACTCATCAAAGCATAGTAATAATATTAGCCTATATTTGATTTACCCCGTTACAGTGGTCCCTTTACAGTTTCTGCTATCATAAAAATACACTGGGCCCTATTTTAACGATTTAAGCGCATGGTCTAAAGCGCACGGCGCAGGTGCACTCAGGGCGTGTCCGAATCCACTTTTGCTAGTTTAACAATGGGAAAACGGTCGATGCGCCCGGGCGCATGGTCTAAACGGGTTGTCCCTATTCTCTTAATGAGTAATGGGTGTTTTTTTGGGCGTAACGTACAATAAACCAATCAGAGTGTCATCTCCCATTCCCTTTAAAAGCCAGTTGCGCTCGCGCCATGGC